AGGAGGTATACTCACTATGTAGGAAAAGCTGTTGGGGCAGAGTGAGCTTCCTGTTAGTGGAAATAAGCACATGGCGCCCTCTGTTGGAAATTAGATATATAGATATGGAGCAGAGGTCCATCAGTGGCTATTAGCCACAAGGTATAGATAGGGACTCTGGGGCAAGTGATGCTCTGTCATCTTGGTGCTTGGGGGGTTCAATAGTGGGAGGGCTTCTAATGTCCTGGCCCCACTGGTGGACCTCCTGATGGCACTGGTATTTCTGGCCACTGTGTGATACAGAGTGTTGGACTGGATGGGCCTTTTGCCTGATCCAACATTGGCATCTCTTATGTTCTTATGTTCTTATTGTACCTGTCGGAGTTCCCACTCCTCCTCAAACTCCACCGTCTCCAGGCTCCACCCCACAAATTTCCAGGAATTTTCCAACCTGGAGTTGGCAACCCTATCTCCTTCCCAGCCAACCTTCAACCTACCGTTATCTGCCCCTGATCTCTACCATCTGGAGAGCAGTTTTAATTCTGAGTGATCTCCAGCCCTCACCTGGAGACTGGCAGTGATTCCCCAGGAGGAAAAGTACAGTCTTTCTCCACAGTGGAGACCAAAGCAATCATTCTCCTCTCCCCCTTTTGATCTGCACAACAACCCTGTGAGGTAGGTTAGGCTGAAAGTCTGTGACTGGTCCAAAATCACCTTCTCAACTTCTACAGCAAGAACCTGGGTCTAGCAAATCCTGCTCTGAAGTGCTAACTTCCACACCTAGGGTAGCCAACCTACAGGTGGAGCCTGAAGATCGCCAGAACTGAACTCCAGACAACAGATCTCCCCCCCCCACCCCAGAGAAAATAACTGCTTTGGAGGGGGTGAGCTCTATGGCATTCTGTTCAGATGAGGCCTCTCCCCTCTTCAAACTGGCTTCTGTAGACTCCATCACAAAATATCCAGGAATTTCCCAACCTGGAGCTGGCAACCCTAGTCAGGCCTGGCCCAAATTAGTTCCTCACAAAGCCCTGGACAGGGTTTCCTTCACCTTTTTACTTACAGAACCAAGCTTGGTTGCCTAGCAACAGCCACTGAGGGATAAGTTAGTCCCACAGGAGCGAACCCAGCCCCCAGCCAATAACATGCGAGTAGTCTTGAGTGGCAATTGAATGGCCAATGGCTGATGGAGTGCATAGCACAGCCAATGGGAGAGCTGGAAATGGCCAACGTGTAAGACAATTATATATATAGGATTATACTTTATAAAATCACAACACAAATTGTTGCATGTGAATACAAGTAATACCTGTTCATTCTCATAAATGGAGATGAATGGTTATCCACAATTATAAATATCTATGGCGCTTTACATGGTATTTTTCCATGTGGGCTTTTTTCCATGTGGGCTTTTATGTATATGGGCTTTTTTTCCATGTGGGCATTTTTCCACATGGGCTTTTTTCCTGTGGGCTATTTTCCAGTCACCTTGTATATTTAAAAAGTAGTTTTAAAAATAAATTTGCTAAGACTTGCAAATATTATTCTCCTTTTCTTCTGATCTAGAGCTGAAGAAAAAGATATAGCTTTGCACTGATTTTATGAATCCTAGGAAGGGAAGATGTTTAATTATTCATGGCTGGAAATGTAGCTGGTAAGGGAAAGACTGTAGAATACATTGTTTATCTTTAATCAAAGGATTCCTATATCCCAGCATGAAGAAATTTAACAGGTCAGTGCAGACATGATTCACTGCAATCAGAAAATAAGATTGCTGACATTATTGCTGTCTTCAGTAATCTAGGTATTACTCGCCCAAAGAAACAGATATAGGTTCCTGCCTAGTAGAATCTATGGATTATGTGGATTTCTCAGGCAGCCATTTAATAGGAGTAGCAGTGCCACTGCTTGACATGGTGCAATATTCCTATTTCTGTTCACAGTCTTTCCTCACACTGGCTGTGTGTCCTATGTTGTCCTCCAGTTTTAGAAGTGAACTTCACTAATTATGTTTGGACATGGCACACCTGCCTGACTGTTGCTGCATCTGACCCATCCGCTCTGTGATGTTTCCTAAGGTCCATGTGTGGAGCTTGCCCTTCAGCCCTTCTATTCTTTGCTGTGGACTGTTTTGCTGGTCATGGAAATAATGCATAGTAGTGATCCTGTCATTTGAAAAACCACAGAATAAATTAATTCATTTTAGTACGCAGTGGTACAGACCATCACACAGAATTTCTTTTTGTTAATGGAAAGTTGACTTGAAGTTGGCACGGATGTAATCAGTCCAATTGATATCAGCCTTTTTAGAGGTTAGAATCTGCATGGACAACACCCTGATTCCATGCTTGCTTAAGTCAGAAGTAAATCCCACTAAGATCTGTGTAGCTTACTCCCAAATAAGTATGTCCAGGATTGCCCTGCATCCTGAAGCTGAAACTATAAGCATACTGACTAGGGAGTAAATATAATTGAATGAAGCATGTCTTACTTCCAAAAAAGGATGCCTAGGATTGTACAGTGCACTTCCTAAAGCTGGGAGCATAATAAACACTTTCTCCCATGTAAGTGTCAAAGCAGTCAGAGTGGCTCTCTTCCTATTGATCAGAGGTGCTTTTCTGAGTAAGCCCCCTTATCTTTCTACTTATCTTCACATATTTCTCTCTCACATTCTTTCATCAAAAGTTTTTGGAAGTATTTATATCCTGCCTTTATGGTTGTTGAAGTGGCTTACAATATCTCTCCCCCCCCCAGGCTAAAAAGTAGATGGCTAAAAATTTTTTGAAAAGCACCAGCATGAATCTCAAAATTTAATAAGCTGCATCTACAGGCAATAAAAGCAAGAGGACAAGACAACTTTTGAAAAATCTTTATAAAAACAGCCACTCCAGCACAACAATTAGTAAGTAAAAGTGCATAGCATAAAGGTGATAAAGGCAAGAGAAACAGCATCCTGGGAATGTGGTGATCAGATGCCAGAAGTGCAGTGGGATGGGAGGGGGTGGTTAACCCTTTCCTACCTTCCATTTTTCTGCTCCCCCCAAGAAAGATGAAAGGTGTTGGGTCAGCTTAGCCTAGCGGTTCCTTCACATCCAGATCAGATTTTATGAAGATTGACTTTCATTTTTAAAAAATCAGGAGCCAGAGCAAGAGATGCAGACACACGTGAGTAAGTGGAAAGATAAGGGATGTACCATCCCTCAGGAAGTCATTTCCATGCCACAGGAAGACGAGCACTGTGCCTGCTTCAGCCTGCCTGCAGGAGAAGACACATTTTAATCAGCTGCCAGCCTTAGGCAACGTGCACTGTGATCCTATGGGAAGTAAGCCCCGCAGGGACAGAAGGCAGTGAGTTTAGGATTGCAGCTTTAGGGTGCAATGCAATCTTCTGCATGCTTACTTCAAAACTGATTCCTCTGAACATACTGGGACTTGCTTCCAAGTGAACCTCAATAGGGCTGAGGTATTACCAGAACAGAGTCTGAGCATTTTGTCCTAGCTCCTGGGTCTGTGGCTCTCCTGACTGATTAAATCCATGACAGTCTCATAGCTCGATGGCTTTCTATTAATCAGTTGTGATGTGATGTTCCACACACCAATGCATAATGAAAGAAAGAACAAAAAGGAATAGCAGCAAGCAGGCGCATTGGTGCTGCTACAGGATCAGGTCAAGATCCTCTGAAACTGCTAAATCCTGGAGGAAAGTCAGAGGGAGGGAAATTGGGAAGGATCTTTAATTTATGCAGCCTTCATTCACCGAGCTTGTATTCATTCATTCATTCATGATCCTCTAGGAGGCTGCAACATCACTTTATCAGTGCTTCTTTCTTTCCAGGAGATCAGTTACAAGAGCTGGTTGCCTTTCACCGACTAGCCACGGTGTACTATTTCCTGCACATGTATGAAATGGCTGAGGACTGCTACTTGAAGACGCTTTCCCTGTGCTCACCATCATTACAAGGTGCTCAAGAGGCCATGTATTACTCCAAGGTTTACTGTCGCCTGGGCGATCTGACCCTGCACAAATTAAAGGTGAGAGGCAGCTGCCTATGGCAGATCCCCTGCTCCATCTCTCTGAAGACCCAACAAGACTGTTTATCCTTGAGAAACAGGTGCTAAGTTTAGTCTGGCCTTGCATTTTAGAGGAAATCTATCAGGAGCTCATTAATAGCCCACAGTTATCAGATACCTTTGCATGAATTGTGCATGAGTTGTCCCAGTAAAATTCCTACCATTTGTGGGGATGTCTGTAACATGCCGTCATCACCTAGCTTCTCCCTTATTTCAATACCAGATTTCAATACCAATACCCATCTTCTCTGGGCCTCCCAAACCTCCTTGATCTCAGTATTTGCTTATCTTTGCAGCCTGTAGTCCTATTGCCTTCTGTTTTGAAACTCCATCATATCCCCTCTGTTGTTTTTGCCTCCTTGTTATGCCTTTGTCATGGCATCCTCAGAGAATGAACCCTTGACCATGCCTCCTAGTTTTGTAGCAGCTGAGAAAACAGCTGCTTCCTTCTGTCTCTTTCAGTAATTCTCTCTTGTGGTACACAATCCTAATCATTGCCTTTTACTGGTAGGAACCATAATGTGCTTGCTAAAAAGTGTTGCCACTGCAAGGGCATGTCTTGGTGGGTCACAGGCAACCTGGGTGGCCAAATCTGCCAAACGTTACTTGAGGCACAAAGGTATTAATTTCAGGAAATGTGGACTTAGAAACCAGCAATTAAAGTTGGTCACATTAGGAATCTGTGTTGGCTTCTGGGGGGTAACTGTTCCCTCTCAAGTGACTTCATTGATTGATTTCATGACTTGTTTAAGGGGCCAGGGGAAGATCTAATATATAAATAAATGTCCATTGATCCCTTCATTACCATCAACAAGCCTTTTTCCTCTCCCCCCCCCCACTGGTGCTTTACTCTCAGGATGAGCAAGATGCAGCCAGTTACTTCCTCTTGGCTTTGGCTGCTGCCACTGAGCTCGGTGACCAGGCTTGGCAAGGCAAGATTCAGGAAAAGTTGGCTCAAATACACAATGCTTCCCAGTGGAATAAGGGCCCAAGAGGATGGACCACGTATCGGGCCCGGTGGCTGAGTGAAGGACGACATGCTGTATGACAGGTCACATCGTATGGTTTGAGTGCTCTCAGACTTCTGAGCCAGAAGAAGTAAAGTTTATCTTACCTCAGTGCCAAAAAGGCCACAGGTGCCTTCTAAACCAACGCAAAGGGGAGAAATATGATCCAGTGTTTCGAACTCTTGCATTTCATGAACTGAGCCGTGAGAAAATCTACCTGCTGTGTGTGGAGTCATCTAAGGTTCTATCAGCAACAGCAACAATACAGGCCTTATTACATATAGAACACTGTGCAGATGCTCCATGAAGAGCCAATTGAAAGCACGAGGTGGGATGTAAAGAAATGCGAGTCTGCTAGAAGTCTGTGTTTGGAAAATGAAGTTGATCCCTAGGGGGAAAAAGCATGAAAAGGATGTTTAACATGCATCTCTTCCTCCTTATTGTCGGAATGGAGAGCATTCTTTCACACTCCCTGCAGGTCTGGCATGAGCTGATGGCCCACTGAGAAAGAAGAAGTTCCAGTCACAGAAAATGAGATTCTGTGTCCATGTATGAGTCATCACATATCTTAGTATCTATTCAGTTCTATTTTCCAATATTGGCTTTGGTAGTTTCTTGGTGCTAATGAGCTGCATTAAGCACTGAAAACCTATAGATAGCAAAACCCAGAAGTGAGCATGCACAAATCGGGGCCTTAAAGAGAATGCATGCATGATGGAGGAGAATAGGGGTGGTGATGGTGGTGGTGATAGGCAATCACATAAAAATCAGGCTCAAGGCACGTTCTTCAGCTGGTCTGCAAGCCCATCTTCTCACCCAAGCTGATAAAGAAGCATACCAAGGAAATGAATGTTGGGTGAAGGCCCCTTTCTGTGTAGTCTGTCCCTTATTCCTTCCCTTGCTGCCTGCTCCTTGTGCTGCAGCAGAGGAAAGCAATTGCTGGAGTTATCCACCTTCATGCCACTTTTTGTTACTTTATCCCAGTAAGATGGAAAAGGACAACATGGTAGTAAGGGAGGAAGTGGGTGTGGAAGGGCACAACAAAGTCATTTTAAGTGACATTCGATTTGTCCATATGCTCATCTCTCAGTTAAGTTGTAAGGGCTTAGAACACTCTAAACATCCTCTTTATATGTTTACACCTGCCTTCTACCTACAGTGTCTTGTCAAGTCCTCAAAAATGTCACAGTAAAAAAGCTGAGGGAGGCTTTAAGGATGAAGGCGGAGGAGACTTTTGTCTGAAAGTAAGGGTTTATGTACAGGCCAGTGAAGCCCTCCCTCACTCCTGACAATAACTATGTGGCTCAGCCTTCCTGCCCCCTAGTTTCTGACTGAAATAGGTGCTGTGGAAGCCAAACTTGGCCTCAGTCTCATAACCCTTTGTTGAAAAGTTCAGCCTGTATCATCCTTTGAACAGGTAAATGTGAAGGATGACCTTTATTAATGCCTGTAGCTGGCAAATCTCCACTGGCCCTGAGGGTGATGGAAAATGATTCCTGAGTACCCACAGAGTGTTTGGGGTGGTCTATAGTCAGCTGTTCTCTGAAGGCCCCTTTACTGCTGCTTAGCACACTCTGCTTTATTGACTGAGCCTCCATGCTTAATGTTTCTTGTCGTTTTTACTGAGGCTGAGAGAACTATCGCACAGGCATGCCATACTCTCAAGAATGCTTCCAGTGATACTGAGTTTGGGCAAGGTAATGGTAATTATTAAAGTAAAGGTAATTATTACTCTGAATAATTTCAAGATGGAGTCAAGGATCCTTTACAAGCAGACAACGTTTGTTTTTGAGCAGTTCTGCCCAGTCATCTGAGCTAGTCACATGCTTTTTTAAGAAATGGGAAAACTGAGATTCTCATGATGCTTAATGTTGAATCTGTTTCCAGATTCCACACTTTTGCAGTAATCCTGCAGCCAAGCCAAAAACATACAATTTAATGGATACCAAGGAGGAGGGGAGGAGCCAAGCCTAGATGTCCTGTGTACATCCTCAATGATCTGGACATGGCCAGTCATGCCAATGGAATAAGATGGCCAACTGGCTTACTGCAAGATGGCTGGCTCTAATTTCACCTTAGATTCTTAGATAAGACATCTTTGATGGAGGTGAGGGTGGTTCTATTTTTGTCAGGGGCATGCCTTTGAACCCTTTCTCATTTTACAAAAGGTGCTGGTGACAGAGGAAGTATGAGTTATCATACTTGGTTTTATCTCGATGAACTTTCAAAAGGGGGAACATGCACATCTACCCCCACCCCACCAAAGGAGATAAATGAGCTGTCCTCATCTTTGGACCACATGAATCTTCCTGTGGAATAAATGCTGGTAGAGTAGCTCCCCCCTCTTTAATATAATGGAAGAACTGCAAATAGTATGGGGTCCTTTGAGTTCATCTTGCTGCTGGCGGAACCCTGGACACAATCTTATTTGCCTGCTTTATTTGTGAACTTTGAATCTCTTCAGGAAGGCTGGGTGGCATCTGGCAAGAAACATACAAAGAGGTAACTGGAACAGTAAGAGCAGAGAAAAAGAGACAACACTGCCTTTGTGGAACCACCTACTGTGTGTGTGTGAAGTGCCTTCAAGTTGCAGCTGACTTATGGTGACCTCATAGGGGTTTCAAGGCAAGTGATTAAGCAGAGGTGGTTTGCCATTGCCTTCCTCTGCAAAGTCTTCCTTGGTAGTCTCCCATCCAAGTACTGACCCTGCTTAGGTTCTGAGATCTGATGAGATTGGGCTATACTATACCATTTCACATTCCAACCATCTGCTAGCCCAGGCATGTCCAAATTTGAACAGGTAGCGATCTATTTTTTCCCGGCCAAAAGTGCCGGTGATCTACCACCATGAAAATAAAGTTTCAAATTAGTTTCAAATTAGATTTTAACTCACTAAAGTTGGGTTCCACCGCCCCCCCTTTATAATGCACCTTCTGTCATTTACTGGTAAGCAAAATAAGCAAGAACAAAACAGAGAGACGAAGATCCAGAAAGAACTGCAAACCAGGAGACCAAGTGGGGCTGGTGATCTACCTCTGACCCCTCCGTGATCTACTGGTAGATCGCGATTTACCTGTTGGACATACCTGTGCTAGCCTATATCAAATGCTACCATGGATTACGATAATGGATTCGATTCCTAGCTTTCCTCTCCCCTCAGCAGCCATTTCTGATCCTGGAAGGTTGACTCATGGGATTCACTTGGGGTCATGGGACCACATGGAATATTATATCCATGTAGGTCAGAAGGGGGAAAAAGTTGAAATCATTCTCTTCTCTCTCTAGCATCAACAGAATTATGGACGAGGCAAGAGGGAGGGATTTTGCCCCCTCCCTCCTTCCCACTGTAGGCTCCATACCCACATGGCTATTGTTCTACATGTGTTCTGCAACCCCAGGAGTAAACTTTACTGAGGAGGTTGGAAAGGACTGCTGGGAGGAGGGAAATGCCGGAGAGATATTTGTTGATGAATCACAGGAGCTGACCTAATAATTCTAAATGGTGGACTGAAGAAAATTTGGAGAAGAAAATTTCTGCTAACAGAAAAAATAGGATCACGAAACTGCAGGGAAAATCGGGCAAAGCCGCAGGTCAAAATGGGCCACGCGGCTTTGAGTGGGAAATTGACCAATAGAAGCGGGGCAAAGGGAGGCGTGACCGCAGCGCAGCTCTTCTGTGAAATCGGTCCTGGTGTTCTTGGGGATCCTGTGTCACGCAGGAGAAGCATTTTGGGGAACGTTTTGTACAGCAGCAGGAGGGGGAGGCAAAGAAGGCCTTGATGGAAATCCATTCCATCAGTATATTTTTCATGGGATCTAAGTCTAATTTATTGAACTCATTGGGCTTAGACTGGAATAATACTGTATGGAATTGCACTGGTAACAGCCAAAGATATGCCCACAGAACAAATGTTCCAGCACCTAAATAACTAAAAATAACTAAATAAGTAATATTGTATCTGATGTATTTTACAGTCTATTTTGTGATTCACCCTGCTTGCAGGGAGGGCGAAATATATATTTAAAGAAATAAATAAAATAACTAGGTGGGAGGGTTTATACTTCAGTGGCTGAGCACATGCTTTGCATGTGAAAAGCCCCTGTTTTTAAGCTTGGTATCTCATAACTCCTGCCAACCTAGCAGTTCGAAAGCAAGAAATTGCAAGTAGATAAATAGGTACCACTTTGGTGGGAAGGTAACAGCATCCCGTGCGCCTTGGTGTTTAGTCATGCCGGCCACATGACCACAGAAACATCTTCGGACAGCGCTGGCTCTTCGGCTTTGAAACGGAGATGAGCACCGCAACCCTAGTGTCGGACTCGACTGGCTTTCGAGCAAGGGAACCTTTACCTTTACCTTTAACTCTCATAAAAGGTATTTTGAGTGGGAGAGCAAAGAGCTACTACCCTTCTTTGAGACCATTCAGAGCCATTTTCAGACTTGGTATAACACAGCTTCATATGTTCATAAATGATGCTGGATGCTCTGGTGCTGATTTGCTGGCTTGCTATGTGTAATTTTGCTTTCTCCTGTACTAGATCATACCACTAGAGGGCAATAAAAGCAATTCTTCCAAGTAATGTTTTCAGTCATTATTGAGAGCAAGAATTTGAAATTAATAAAGACCTCTGAGCAATCTGAACTTTAAAAATGTGAAAAGTACGCAAACGGAGAGTGATTTCAGCAAAGCGTACTTTATTCTATCCGGAACAAGACAACTTTGGCCGGCTCGCAGGCCGGCTTATATCCCCCGAGAAACTGCCACCCAAAACACACCCCTACTTCCCTATAGGTTATTTACAGTGGCCAAGAGTCCCATAGGCTCTCGGCCGGGAACCTAGCCCTCTGTTTGGAGCGGGCTAGGATCTGCATAGTCCATTGTCTCTTGGAACGAAGCTCGACATTTGTCTCTGGACTTGTCTGGACTTGTCTGGGCTTGTCTGGACTGGATACATTACAAAATGCATCTGTGAGATGCTTTCTGACTAGTCATGGTCAGAAGCATTTTTCCTTTTGGGCCATTTTTTCAATTGTTTAAAAGTCCTAAACAGATTGCACCAATATTTTCTACAAATATAGGATTTCGCTTCCCCCACTACCAATTTGTGTAAAAACCAATTGGTAGGGCAAAGACTTGCTACCTAAAATGGCAAGGAATTGGGCTTCTTTGCCTAATGGGGAGCTTTTTAGAATAGTTCTGACAGGTTCCGTTTTCACTGAATAGCATTTTTAATTATTATAGAGATAAGGTAAAATAAGCTAAA